TCCCCTGAACAAATTTTTATTCAAACTGTAATTTTGATAAAGTACAATTGTATTTAAAGAAGTCTTTCTCTACACTTTATTTAAATTTGTATTATAGAGGAAGTTGTCCTTCTAGTCTGTGGCATCTACACAAAAAGTAAAGAAAAATACTGGTGAAACAGTTAAACAAGAAAATGAAATCAACCTCAGACACCTGGCAGACATAAATATCTCTTCAGCTTTCAGATAAAACTACTCCACCAAAAGTGAAGTCAAATGCTGTGTGCCAATCTACGTCTGGCTATTCTGTTGATTTAGGAAGTAGACTGTACAATCCACAATAAACAGCTCGGATTGAAGGGGGGGGGAAAAAAAAAATCAGGGAAGACAAGTAAATAGAACAGCATGAAGGAAATTAAACTAAATAGACTTTTCAAACTGGGAGCCAAATTAGTCTTTGGACAAATAAAGCTGTGAGCAAACATTAATTCAGAGTCATATTACAATTTGTGCAAATGTTGATTCGCTTGTCTTAGAAAGATATTCAGAAAAAAACAAGTCATTATTGTTTGCAACACAGCCACATGAGGATTCAACACAGAATGCGAGCTATGTTAAGCTCTGCATCTAAACCACAAATTATGCATGGAGGGTTTTGAAGTTTTATTAGGACTCTCAATGTTTTAAGTAAAACAAAGTATGCACAAGAATGTTGTTTAGAACTTAAGAAATGAATTGAATTAATCTTTATGTAATGTGTTGACATTGGAGAGACAGTGAAATGATAGAGAAACATTGAGCAAAGAAAATAGTGCCTGAAACTGAAAAAAAAGAGTTATTGTAAGCCAGTATTTTTGCAACTTGAATACATGGAAGAGCATTGACTAGCATGATAGACTCACAAGGGAGCTTCTAAGTGTGTACCTAGTCCAAAGGCTGACAAGTCTTTACTGCAGGGATGTCAAACTGGTTACAGAAAGGGCCGTGTGGCTGCAGGTTTTCTTTCCAACCAAGCAATAGCACACCAGTCTACAATAATCTCATCAACTGATTGCAATCTGAACATGATGACTTGATGAGATGAATGGAGACTGTTGTGCTAAAGCTTGGTTGGAAAGAAAACCTGCAGCCAGACGGCCCTTTCTGGAACCAGTTTAAGACCCCTGATCTAAAGGATGATTAAAAGTTTCATAGATACCTTTTCATCCAATCTGTTCAATGTACTTGTACATAAGAAATACTTACTTGTAATATATTACTTTATTAGTATGAGGTTTTAAGGTGAGGTGTTGTAGGATGGTTTAGTATTTGCAGTGAGGTGAATATTTGCATAACTATCACCTAGATTGATACTCTGAGCCTCATATATCAGCAAACTGGTAATAATGATGGTAATATGTGACTTACATCAATTATCTGAAGAACAAGATTAACTGACCCTAGGCTGAGATAAAGATTTTTTTTCTATTAAGGTAAGTATAAACTCTCACCTGCAGATTCCTCACTAACCATTTCCTCACCAATCTTTATAATTTGGTTTCACATCATCATAAAACTCTCATGGTTTTGCACTTTGTTTAGGTTTCTGTGATTTTGTGTCTTTGCAGTTTTCTGAAAGTGTTGTGTTTTGTGTTACTCTCTCTTGCCCCCTTGTGCCAGTCTCCTTTCCCCTGGCTTCTGGCTGGTTCCATCCCCACCTGCTCCATGTCAGCTGATTAGCAGTCTTTGTTGTAGCAGGGGCGACAGTGGCATTGGATGTAGGAGTTCGCCCTGAAATCGAAGGATTGACGGTTCAAGCCCCGACTCCGACTCAGTGTCTGTGTCCTTGGGTATTGTCTACTGATGGTGGTCAGAGGGCCCGGTGGCGCCAGTGTATGGCAGCCCCGCTTCTGTCAGTGAGCCCCAGGGCAGCTGTAGCTACAATGTAGCTTGCGACCATCAGTCTGTGTGTGAATAGGTGAATGAATGTGGTGTAAAGTGCTTATATAGTCTCCTGACCAAAGTCAGGAGACTATATAAGCCTCTGGTAATAGCAGAATTCTGAGCTATCACTGTGAGCTTTGTAGATGACAGACACCAAACACAACTAAACACACTGCTGATGGTGTAAATTATAGTTATTGTATGTTGGCGCTATATAAGTACATGCCATTTACCATTTGTTCAGTGTCCCGTGTATACTCCCCTTGTGCAGTCCCTCATTGCTGGTTTCTTGTTGTTACTTTGCTCCTCATGTGTTTTCCTCAGGTGTATCCTGGTTTTTGGTTTTCTGTATTTTGTTTTTGGAAGTTTGCTTCTGTTGCCTTTGCATCTTCATTAAATCAGCAAAAGCTCATCTCCACCTCCTTCTAGTCTCTGTTTGGATCCACAACACATCCAGCATCTTTGACAAAAACATGTATGCTCTGCCTATTCTTTGAGATATCATGTGCACCTTTGTGTGAACAGAGGGGTTCCAAAACCCAACAATAAGATGTTTGATCTGCATCTTTATTAAAGGAGTGTGCAGAGCTTTAAAAAGTCAACATAAAAAATGACACGTTATATTAGTACTAAAGTTCTTTTGGGTTCTGAAGAAAATTGAAAACAACTTTGTCACTAAGTAAATTCACAACATTTGATTCAAATGAGGTACACCTGGCCCTTAAAAACACTGCATTTTTTGTGTGACATCATTAAAAAAAATCAAAAGAAATCTGATGAGATATCAGGCAAAAAAATGTGCACCTCTACATGTCTGGTTCATCCTTGGGAGAAATCGATTTTTTGTCAGATTGCTGACAACTAAATCAATTCTGAAAATCAACACAAAAAATTCAACAAACTACATCAAAGTATGAACAACATGGACAGATCATGCAATCATACTGTTTAGGTAGAAGAGGTGTTGTGTTTCCTAGAAATTGCTTAAGATGGAAAAAAAAAAAAAACTTACTAAAAATCATTATAAAAGGCATAATAATATAATTTGCAGATACACCTGGAGATAAACAGCGTTTTGAGATACTGTATTTCCTGTGATCAGATTTAACATACAATAACTATAATCTTGATTTACACCATCAGCAGTGTGTTTAGTTGTGTTTGGTGTCTGTCATCTACAAAGCTCACAGTGATAGCTCAGAATACTGCTATTACCAGAGGCTTATAAAAAACAAAAGGTTTTTCAATCATTTAAATCTTTGAAACCAAGGCTTGTTCTTTTTCATTGTTTTGTGTGATTACTATTGTTAAGATGGAAACTCATTGCTGTTTTCCGTTTACATTTTTGAATTGTTTGTCCTTTATTTTGAAATGTTTTACAACCACATGGATGCTTATTTTCGCCATTTGGCTTCTTTACGGGTCACTTGTTTGGGTAAGATTATTGCACAATGCTATGAAATGCTATAAAATCTCCTAAGCATAACTGTGATGAATGCTGATCATGCTTTTTTTATTTTATAAATAAATATGATTTAGTTAAACTGAAACTGAATTATGTTTGTGATTGTATGTTTGCTGCTGTAGATGATTTGAATACAATTTTCTTCGTTCGCACAAAGTTTCATTTGGGGTCAATAGCATCATATGACATTAGGCTCCTACAGAAGCTAGACTATGAAAATAAATAATCCAAGTTGATTAAGAGAGTTGGTGATCTCCTTATATTAAGTTTACACAAACCTGTCTAATTTTGAAGTTAAGCATAAAGGGAAAAATATAATTTGGCGAACAGAAGTCAGATTTAACACTAGCTTAGCAAACATTTGTGGTAGCTCCTAATGAACAAAACATTAAAGGTTTCTGTTTATTATCTCAAATAGTATGTTGGTGTAAACTAAGTATATAATGTACATTAATTATTAGTTAAGCAGGAAGTGACCTAGGCTAGAAAAGTATTACAATACAGTTTTAAAACATGGACTTTTCCTATCTATTAAAGTTCTACTTCAATTTATTTGTCAAAACATTGTTAGCCTTGTTCAAAATTGTGAAGAGATTAAAATACATACTTCAAGCATATTCTATCTACAAGAGAGAGGGATGGCTAAACCCATGAATAAAAATGTAGAGGTTCAATTTACTGTGTTATCAGCTTAAAGTCTATATTTTCTGTATTAGGATGGAAGTCAGGACAAGGATACCAAGAACAAGGGTAGAATGAGAGACAGACGGTTTAAATTTTCTGCATAACTTTTTTGTTAAGAAATTCATTGCATGTTGTTTTTCTTTTTTGACTTTTTTTCTTACAGACTCATAAAAAAAATCCAAGCTGATAGCAGTTAGAGACAAATCAGCTTTTATTCTTACACAAAAACAAATCAGGATAATCTGTCTTACAGATTTGTAAAACTATGATGTTTAAAGCACAAATAATGACAAAATTCATTACAATATATTTCGGCACTAATGTGAAAAGGTCACTAAAGTACCAGTCAGCAAATACAGTGTAAATATAGTGCAGAGCTAAAGCTGCTGTCCAGTGCATTTAGGCAATGGTTATCCATTAAAGCGTTTTTACAAAATACAAATAAATGATAATTCTATATTTCAAACTTCTACCTGATGTGCAAGATGCAAGGCATAAAGGATAATCTGGCCACCAGGCCAACCCTGAGATAAATACCGATCAGCAACAAATCCTAAAACAAAACGCTGCTGTTTTTTTTCAGCTTGTGAACCTTTATAAGATTATATATTCATGGTAAAAAAACAAAAAAACAAAAACAAAAAATAAAACAGCAGCAAAAAAGAAAAAGGCAAAACTTCTTTGGCATTATTTAAACAGTTTAAAAAAAGACATTTGCTAATTCTACCAACAACTTCTTTAAATTGGGTTAATTTTTTCCTAGAAAATATTCAAAAATGTATTTGAATGGATATAAATATAAAGAATGAAGCAGAACATTCACTGATAGCCCAGATTACTAACCCAGATTTTTTATTTTTAAAGGGGCCACACTCATTGTTTTCTTTAATAGCGGTAACTGAAGCATTGTTTTGGTTTTGGAAGCAGCATGTTAGTGTGTACTGTACCTTTCAGTCATCAGTTATCTTTTATTTAAGTAAGTAAAGATGTTTTTTAAGTGAACTTAATTTTACTACAGTGGAAATTAAACTGATAATACCTTCTAAACAGCCTGAAAATGTCTTTTAAAAAAGGTAACGTTGAGAAACGGTTTCTGACTTATTTTGACTTTTCTATCTAAATTGTCACGTTTAAAGTAGCTAGCAATCAATGTACTGTTAAATCTAATAACTAAATCTTGATGGATGCCCTTCTTGCAAGGTAAAAGTGGGTGAAAAAGACACTAGCGCAGTAGTCACTCTCAGGATCTACAGTATAAGGAAATCTGTTTAGTTTTTGAGGTTTTTGCTTTTCATTGAATTGGTTCAGTGTATTCTAACTACTTAAAAGTTTGTAGATGGCATATAGTGCTTGCACCATTATAAGTTGTTTGGAAATTTGCCAGTACAGTGACACTGCATGCATCCTGAAGCCATTACACTTCAGTTCTCAAATATAACCTTTCTCTGTTGGAGAGTTGACATGTGGGATTTCACTGAAATGATGGTGATACTTTAGGCTGTTCTGCAGACACATTCAGGATTGGGACCTACCCTAAATCAGATTGGTAATCATGTTCAGGAGTCTGATGGAAATATTACTGTAAAAATTGTTGGAATTTAAAATTCACATGGGCCAATAAAATTATTCACACATTGAAAAGTGTTTGCAAATCTGATAAGTAAATGTGGACAAATAAGGTTAGCTTTTATATACGTAAACTGTGAAATGTAGTAAAAATAAATTTGACTTGTTCTATAATTATCTACAAATTGGTTTGATTTTACAGAATAATCTGGATAGTAGCTAAAAAGCCCATTACTGTATTGCTACCAATGAAAATCACACTCATCTAAATTTGTTTGAGATATATTGCTAATCAATACAGACATAATACATTCATTTCTCCATTAAACATTCTCTGCGCCCCGGGAGGTCTTCAGTGACTTCAGCGTCAGCTCATCCGTAATGTCGACTGGATTGCTGTAGGTCTGAGACTCGTCCTCTACATGCTGGAGCTGTGCAAAGTTCACAAAGACCTGAAATACCAAAAGACAAATCAGCAAAATCAAGATTAGTTTAAGGCCTGCAAATACTCCTTTCTCGGTTTCATTTTGCTCTCTCCCCCCTCCTGCTTTGAAAACAGCCAGAAGCAGTGATCAAGTTGGCAGCATTCATGTGATTGAGTTGCCGTACAAAGGCCATGAAGCATCAAGCAAACGTCTGGACTCACACAGTGAATGTCAGCTTGACATCTTTGACCAGCTGAGAAAGAGAATAAAACAATCATTCTTCTCTCTGTGATGCCAATTTATTATGAGACAAAAATCAATCCTATGGCTTTCATAAAAAGCTGTGTGGATTTGATTGTGCTGTAAAAACACTGGACTTGCCGCGGCCAGCTTCAGCGGTAATGGCACGCAAAAACTTTTACTCTGCAGAGCAAAAGCACCAAAGAGGATCGTATAAAATGATAAGAGCATTGCTTTTTCATTAAATGGATTTCAATGGCTGTGTGAAAGTAAAAGCATGTGATTTATGAGCCTGCATTTAAAATGATGGGGATCGGGGAACAAAAAAAAAAGAGAAGAAAGCCATCTAGACCAAGTTTATCAGAAACTGCTCAGAATGTATGAATTAAATGATTCTTTATCACAAAACAGTCTCTAGTAAGAGACAAATTATATCAACTAGCAGCCCTTAAATGACCAGAAGAACAAAATCAGTATTATACAGACCGAAAAATATTCTTTTATTTAATTTAACCCAGAAGACAGAGAGAGAGAGATCTGTTTCAGTAAACTAATTAATACAATTGGAAACCTATTGCCTCATTTTTATATTTCTAACGGTATTTGTAACTGAATAAACGTAAATTATAATGAGACATTTCTTTTCTTACAGAGACCATTTTACGAATTTACTTTGCACAAATTAGCAGGCATTTTCCTCTTACTGAGTTTAGAGTTTGTTTTTTTTATGGAGAAAGTGCCAGTTCAGTTTGAAAATGTATAGATGCATGTAATGTATTTCATATGTAAATGAAAAAGACAAATATTTGTAAAATGAAAGAGCAACTCCAGAAATATGCTGGTGAAGATTCTCAGTCACCCAAGTCAGTCATTCCAAAAAAGTTAAAAAAAACAAAAGTTGGAAACAAAGTCCAGTGTTTTTTTTTTTGTTGTTGTTGTTGTTTTTTACTTTATTTTTTTTTACTTTTTTGAACTACAGAAATAGGTAGAGACAAGTTGAGACAAATTGTGTTTCAGTCAATTATTTTCTTGTTGCAAGAATACTTTTCGACAATCCGTTTTATACTGTTGGATAATCTGTTTATTTCTGCCCAAGTATCAACAAAGAAAATACATCAGATTCAAGTGTCTCTGCTCAGTGCTGCCAGCTCAATCTTCGACCATGTGGTATGGGTGTGTTGCATGACCTTGGCTGCTGTGGTGAAGCTGAAGCTCACTACTTCAGGGAACAGTTTGAAACATGGTGCATAGCTCAGACATATATGTTTTATTTGCTCTCTAATGTTTTGCTGAAGTGTAGAGCTCACAAGTTTTAGTTGAGAACTAAAATAAATTTCCTTATATTTTGGACAAAATAACTGGCATTTGCTCGGAAGGAGAAGTACATCAACAAGAAATGTAAGGTTATGTATACACTACTGTTACCTGAAGGAGAGGAACGAAGTAGGACAGTATAAGTACAATACACAAGTATTGGATATCACTCCCCTGTGTATCCTGCTTAAAAACTGCTTCACTTTTGTTTGCTTTGTGCTCATCTCAAACCACAAAGCATAGGTAGGCCTATTGAACTCAGCGCTTTGCAGGCAGGCACACTTACCGGCAGGCAGCAGTGGCCAACTCCTACAAGAGCTGTTGAACTAATTTCAAGTAGGCTCACCAAAACAGAGATACCGATACCAGTATTGGGCAAAATCGGTATCGGTGGGTATCGACAAATAGGGCACCGATACCATTTTGAGAGCCAAAAGTTTATTTAACTACTGTCCCCCATTCCAGGTAGGTAATAAAAAGTTCTACTGGATTCACTTTGTATTACTCTTGTTCCTGCTTTACAAAGGTAGGCAGCATTATTTTACATCCAAGTCTTATGCAGCTCTTCATATATACACAGACACATCAATTTCAAACAGATGGTATCGGTATAGTATCGGCCGATACTGCACAGCCAGGTGCAACACTAGTTCTTAGTGAGGTGAAGAGCAAAAGAACTGATTAATGGCGGTAATGACGGACACATATCATCTGGGCGGGGCCCGTCTGGGCGGGGCCCGTCTCTTGTCATCATCATCTAAGATTACATGTGGCTTCAGCCAGGATATACAGAGGCGTTATATCCCATACTCATGTGTTGTACTGAGTGAATCGACTCAAAGAACATTCTAAGGTGAGTGAATGCTGTACATAATGTAAATGAAAAATCTAAATCTCTATCATTGCATTGGATGTCTGAAACAAGAACGTTTTTTTTTTTGCCAAGACTGTCAGTTGTCCACAATGTTTTTAACTCCATGTCAGCTGTGTTGCTAAACTTTCATTAATTGAAAACAGTTTGAACCCTCCAAACTAATTTTAACATAGTAGTTTGAGAAAGTTGTCCTTCTCTTCTAACTTCTTTAAAACTAATCAATTGGTCAATCAATAATATTCACATCCCTTGATGTTTTTCATATTTTATCACATTACAAACAGTTTACATAAAGTAGTGGTTTAGCGGGGAAAACATCTATGTGGATTTTAAAATTCTTTTTTAAATATCTGCAACGGGTATCAAGGATGGGGGAGGCATATCCTGCCTTCTTTTATGGAAACCGTTTAATAAAAACTAATGCAATTGAGTATTTTCAGAAGAAGCTTAGTATTGCGCAAGATCTACCTCTGGATCACATGTAATGTTGCAAATATTACTATGTGTGATATAATTGCCATAAGAAAAAAGTTATATCTTATCTTCTTAAGCCTGGACTAGGACTGATAGCAAACCCCATGATAGTATTGAACTCATCTGTCATTCAGGTTTTACAATTTCTTTATACTACTACTTTAAGAGTGCATGGTCTGCACCAGGCTATGAGAATAAGCTACATCCACAACTCAAGCACTGTTTGCACCAATGACGTCATCTCAACTGCATTGGCCATCAAGGTCAGGCTTGTCAAAGCATTTTTGTGAGATGACAATGAGTAATACAGAAGCAACAAAGACCCTCTCTGCCCATCTCTGTGGGCATCTCTGACCCCGCTGTTGGCTGATACCGCTTTGATATGCTGAGGCACGCTCTGAATTTGATATTCACACTCAAGGCTGCCCAGTTATCTAGCAGAATATTCAAGTAGTGTTTGTGTTTAACTTTCCATCAGACCAATAGTTTGAAAGGCCTTGAACAGTGCAGCTCTTTGACTGAGCATTAAAAATAAACAAGCCAAATTCAACTTGTGCTGTAAGGAGTCAATATTGTTCCCTCATGTTCACGTTCTGTATTTAGCCAAGCATCCACGGATGGCAGGAACGTCATGCACCAGTGCTACTGAGTGGCATTTCTGTAATAACAGATGGATACAGGTATTAATTACATTACAGAGGGTAAATTCAGGTGTTGATTTGGAGACCACTGAGGCATAACAAGGAAGGAAGGACATCATTTCCACAATTAACCTCTGTTGCATAACAAAGGACATCTTGCAGTAAGACAAAGAATTATGTTAGGCATCTCTGTGATGCATTCATATAAAGTTCTAGGTAGATGATTATATGTGTTTTTGTCATATTGTGTGATTTTGTTTGCCAAAACTCTGACAAACTCTCAACAAGGAAAAAAAAAACACATTTAACATGCCAATTTATAAACATCATTGGGTTTATTTTTTATTGTCATGTTTACCGCTAAGTGAGGAAATCAATATGTCAGATTAAGTCTAGAACATACACTCACCGGCCACTTTATTAGGTACACCTGTCCAACTGCTCGTTAACACTTAATTTCTAAGCAGCCAATCACATGGTGGCAACTCAGTGCATTTAGGCATGTAGACATGGTCAAGACAATCTCCTGCAGTTCAAACCGAGCATCAGTATGGGGAAGAAAGGTGATTTGAAAAACTTTGAACGTGGCATGATTGTTGGTGCCAGAAGGGCTGGTTTGAGTATTTCAGAAACTGCTGATCTACTGGGATTTTCACGCACAACCATCTCTAGGGTTTACAGAGAATGGTCCGAAAAAGAAAAAACATCCAGTGAGCGGCAGTTCTGTGGGCGGAAATGCCTTGTTGATGCCAGAGGTCAGAGGAGAATGGCCAGACTGGTTCGAGCTGATAGAAGGGCAACAGTGACTCAAATAACCACCCGTTACAACCAAGGTGGGCAGAAGAGCATCTCTGAACGCACAGTACGTCGAACTTTGAGGCAGATGGGCTACAGCAGCAGAAGACCACACTGGGTGCCACTCCTTTCAGCTAAGAACAGGAAACTGAGGCTACAATTTATACAAGCTCATCGAAATTGGACGGTAGGGTCAGAATTTGGCGTCTACAACATGAAAGCATGGATCCATCCTGCCTTGTATCAAGGGTTCAGGCTGGTGGTGGTGGTGTCATGGTGTGGGGAATATTTTCTTGGCACTCTTTGGGCCCCTTGGTACCAATTGAGCATCGTTGCAATGCCACAGCCTTCCTGAGTATTGTTGCTGACCATGTCCATCCCTTTATGACCACAATGTACCCAACTTCTGATGGCTACTTTCAGCAGGATAATGCGCCATGTCATAAAGCTGGAATCATCTCAGACTGGTTTCTTGAACATGACAATGAGTTCACTGTACTCAAATGGCCTCTACAGTCACCAGATCTCAATCCAATAGAGCATCTTTGGGATGTGGTGGAACGGGAGATTCGCATCATGGATGTGCAGCCGACAAATCTGCGGCAACTGTGTGATGCCATCATGTCAATATGGACCAAACTCCCTGAGGAATGCTTCCAGCACCTTGTTGAATCTATGCCACCAAGAATTGAGGCAGTTCAGAAGGCAAAAAGGGGTCCAACCCGTTACTAGCATGGGGTACCTAATTAAGTGGCCGGTGAGTGTATATGCAATGAAAGAAGAAAATGTCAACTTAAAATGTGATGAAATTCCAATTCAAAAACTGTATTTGTGGTTTGAAACCAATAATTTCACTTTACATGGAATTGAAATTCCCTTATCATGGAAAAAAATGAACTGAAGCAATTAGTTGCTGAGTAAAACTATATTGTCAATGGGGGTTTATCCTTTCACATGCTGTAACTCACGTGAATGTGACCTCATCACCTGACTAATTTAACATAGGAGTGGCTGGCACTGCAATACCATTAGCAAGGTTTTCTTTACAGCTAATGCGGTCTACTTAGTTTCAGAATAGAACTATGAGGCATTTCAGTTTCTTTAGCATCTTAAAAATCAATAATCTTGTGTCTGTGGTCAATAGATACAGTTGGACCAAATGTCTGTTTATTCTTTGAAATAAATAGAATTTTTACATTTTTGTCACTATCGTATTCGAGAGTAAATTTATATTTATATGGAATGACAGAGATTTGGTTTTTACTGTATTGAAAAAATAAGTTATGTTATATATTTAGGTGTACAAAATTGCACTCATTTTTTTTGGGGGTTGATCAAAATTATCTTTTTTTCAGTGTGTAAAACTGGTGCTGAGATTCAGATCATTATTTAAGCTTGATTTAGCTTGATCAGTGAAAAAAGCTTATCGAAGTTAAAAAACAAATTGTTCTGTGGGAAAGCTGCTACTGATGGCAGAAGATTTAGAACAAACTAGACATTTTAGTGTTTGTCCATAGTATGAAGTATAGGCTCAAGATCCACCTCAATTTCATTGACGTTGCAAAAGACAAAGAGCAAAACCTCAGCAGGTAACAGAAAACCCTTAGCAAAGCAAAGTGGCTCTCATATAACATTTTAAGACCTCAGCCACTCTGTCATAAAACATGCTGGATCTTTAAATGTAGGCTGGAAATCTAAGAGTTAAGATGAAGGTCTAGGAAAAAAAAAAACTGTATAAGTGTTTTGTAACTAGCAGCTAGATCTGGCATTGCGCTAAAATTGGGTAATTTAGCAATTATAAATTTGTTTGTTTAAAATTAATTTGTTAACTGTTTTACAGTGACTGGCACATCACATCCCCCATTGAGTGTGGCACTGCCTCTTCTAACTACATCATATCAGCAAGTACAAGCTTACCAAACATCTAATTATTTTTCTGTATTCGACTAAATTTATAAATAATGAATCCATCATTTTAAATGCAGACATATATCATTTGATATAGCTGGAACACTAAAAATTCTATATTTTTAATGTTTTCCCAAGATTAGCAGAAAATCCAGTAATGGTAAGTTCCTCAGATGGAACCACCACTGTTAATCAGTCCATCCATTTGATCTTTTACTTAGCTAAGATTGGATCACTCAAATAACAAGTTTTGGAGGCAAACTCCCATCCCACACCTCAGCAAAACTATCCCTGGTTTCCATAGACAATACGTAGTTTCTGGGCCAGAACAGATTCACAGTCCCCTCAGGGATTTCTGGGTCTATCCTGGACCTTTCCCTGAAAACGGACGATGACTGGAAAACCCCAAGGGAAGCAGCCATGTTAATCAGACATCTGTATAACCTCAATTGACTGATTTGAGCTCACCCTAAAAGATCGATTAATGCCGGGACTGCAGAGAAAAGGGACTATAATTTGCATTATGATCTTGCAAAACAAACAATGTTCCTGTTTTTGGTCTCTTTCTTTCTCCTGTTAATAGCCCCACATTCTTATCTGTCTATGTATCTTAAGTTACAATTGTTTGAAGGTCTAAATATGACTGAAAACAGCAAACTTAGTGTTTACCAGCATTTATCTATGATACAGATAGAAAAGATGCACTTCTGACTTTGGGGACAAATTTGAAACATTTTCCACACGTTAACATTAAGATGTTTTTAGCCATATTTTCCTTTGAAAGACCAAACAGTCACATTTCTCCTTTCAGATACGCACTGCACCATCCAGACAATCAGTATCAACACCTCAGCTGTAGGCTGTGTTGATCAATATTAATTGTAGTTCAAGATGGGTGTTACACTACAGGTCAAAGCTTTGCTATATAAATCACCAGCTGAAAGGTGACTGTCTGGGTCTCTGCAAAGCTCTCTACCTCAGGCCCCTCCGTGCTTTAATACCCCGACCTGCTAGTTTAAGTATGATTTATTTACTGCCTCTTATCTGGTAAACATTGACTGGTGCAGAAACTGGGGCGGCTGACTCAAACGTTCAGATAAATATTCAAGGTTAGAAGCTAGGCTGAAATTGAAGCGTTATTTGATTCAAACTCATACAGTTTATTAATTACTTTTTTTTAAATCAAAAGGTTTAAAATATTTTACTGAGTGAACAAATTAATGCTAAAAAAAAGGGCATTCAATGGCAATAATTCTCTGAAAGATGCCATGCATCCCTAATTACAAGCATATGGGGATCATGTTAACAACATTCATATCGTTAAATCCTGTATTATCCTTTATATGGTGAATCTTAATTGGATTAAAATACTACAACTTGAACAAATGACTCCCATCTGTCCCTGTTTTTGCTCCTCTCAGCAAGGTGGACTCATGACCTTTCCAGGGCCTATGAGAAGTCTCCCCTACGTTCCAGTCAGGTCATCTGCTGCGAAGCTAATAGAGGGTTTATAAGACCAAACACACCCCAACTCACCACTGACCCTCTGATTGTATCAGACCTCTAGGGGTGCATGAAAAAACACAAGGCGAAGACAGTCTTAATAAAGAAAAAGCTGTTGGGATGAAATAAGAAAAAAATAATAAAGTACACTGCCTACATTTATTGGCAACACAGGTAGTCTCTTCCTGCAGCAGCATAAGCTCATGAAGAATAATTTTGAAAAATCACAAAATCAATTCTGATACATTTATTCAGAGAATAAGATTTCCTTACAAATGGCCTCATGGTGAAAATTTATTTCTCTAAGAGTTATTAGACATGACAACTGATTGTCTAGGGCCGATGACAGAAAAAACATTTTCTATGTGACCATTACAAATGTAAAGCTAGAGAGTTCATTAAAGGCTAGCGTGACTCTGTACTGCTGTGCAGTTGTTTTCTTCAAAGGCTTAGGAAACCTAATGATATAGTATGGCATCTTAAACTCTTACAAATATTGTATTTCTAGAAAAGGATCCAAAACCTAAAGCCAATAAGCAAATCAATGAGACAAATGTCGTCAAGTGGACCCGTGTGTGTAGAATCTAAAGAGAATGGGCACAGAATAATGATCAAAGGTGATAAAGTGTTATCCACTTGACCAATGGGAAATGTACAAGTATTGTCATCTAGGCCCTTTTAAAACTGTGTGTTTTGTCAGATAAGAGAACAATAATGAATATGTGGGGAAGCAAACTTGGGAGATCGGTCATCCTGTGAGCATGCCTCCCCTCCAAAGAGTCGAAGAACCTTGTTAGACATGTGGCCAAATCAACAATGGAACAATGGTCAACACTGGAATAGTTCCCCAGAAATAAAATCAACCTCCTTTCATGAACAGACCTGAATCACATGGGGAACCTGCTGGGGTGAGTTCAACTCAAAGATGTAGATTTGGACAGACGCTCATAAAAATGGAAAAAGATCCATGGTAAAAAAAACTTTAAAAAATCGGACTACAATAACAGAGTGACTAAGCGTATGTGTCCAGAAATGAATTGTACTAAACAAGCTTGGCCATATCTTAAATAGTTAAATACCTTAAAGCTCCAAAACTGAATAACAAACTGGTCTACTGGTCAATTAAACTGAGCTACCATTGAGTCTTTTGGTAAATATCGGTCTATTTCATAAAAATAAACCCCAGAGTTGAAATGTTTCTCCTCTGTTACAGAGAAATCAGCTCAAGATCAATATTTTGCTCTCAAGCATGAACACACAGAAAATATTTATCTGCGTTCTCTATTTCTCAACATCATTTATTTTGTCAAATTATACTTCTTAAAAGAAAGGATAAAATAAATACTGTTATACTCATAAATCAGGGTAATTGAGTACCTTCTTAAAACAAGTTGTTTTTATCTATGCATTTATTCTTGTCTCTAATGAAAGAAATGATGAATTCATTAAAAAAAATATGGACAACTAGTGTTTATGATTGAGAACAGAAAATGAACAAAGAACATAAATACTAGCGTCATTTTGTTTTATCTACCTGACCCATTCAGGCTTAAAGCATGTAGACAAACTAATCAATAGTCATGTAGACAGTATTGCACCTGAGCTATTGTAACATTAAAAATAGGTAGTAAACATTGGTAGCATACCTTCAAAGATGCATCAACACATTCTATCATTCTATTGTACTTTAACATATTGTTTTTGAAAAGATGTTCTGTGATTTTACAAAAGAGAAAACTTAATTCAAAGATAAGTTGTTTTTTCTCTTACCTGATCGAGAGTTGTTTGGGACACAGAGTAGTCCTCTACACACAACCTGTGCTGATGGCTGGTGAACTGGCTAAAGATTTTAGCCAGTGCTCCCAGTTTGTATGGGAACTGGTAATGGAGTGTATTGTGATGTTTCTCCTTGAGAATGCTGTCTGGGAACTTCTTAAGGACAAAGTCCTCAACTGGCTTTAGAGCAGGAGGGGAACCACCAACACGAATGATCACAGTGTAGCCATCACCAAATCTGGAACACAGAAGAAATTGGGCCTTTGGTATAGATCATTTCTACAATATTTTTTAGCACATGAATATCTGAAAAGAGTGTTAAGCATTTGCCTTAAGCTTCTCCAAGCTGGCATTTTTGAGAGCAGGGGTCTTCAACTTAACTCCTCAGAGCCACTGTTTATGTATTCTTTTTCTCATCAATAGCTACATTTACATTAGAAAAATTTCCTTTGAACTGATCTAAACCTTGGTTGATTGGAAATTTAAAATCCATGTTAACATGGACACTAAATAAAACAATCCGATCAAAACATGTGTATACATGTACTAATCGTTTGATTAAATGAAATTGGATTAGAATCTTCAGTCTAACACATTTGCACAAAACATTTTGATCTTATCAGGCCTTCAGTCTCATAATTTGTGACCATGTAAACATAGTTGCTGTATGCAATGACCAAATTAACCAGAGTTCAAGTCTTTCCTTTGTTGTAACTATTAAAATTGTTTTAAAACTTAAAGTATTTTTATGAATGTAAATATGGCAAGTTGATATAGCAGGTATTGTCTAATTTATTTTTGATTGCAAAATCAGTATAACCCTTATTTAAATAGGGTGTTGTCTTATGTTACATTCAAACCAGAAACGGTTTCAGCAGCAAAAAAGCCACTGCTGCTACATTTTTGAAGCTTGTACACAAATGCACCTATGATGCTCCTGATGCGCGTCCAGTAAATTGTGTACAGATGCAACATGCTTTTACTGAATCTGGTCAAGTGGGTAAAAAAGAATTTAAATATATTTCTAAGCGAGTAAGTCCACCAATATTGTGCCTTGAAATATCATTTCGATGTTGGAGCGGCGCAAACCTCCACATACCGGCGGTGCACTGTCACTGGGAATCCCCAGCAGCAGCTGCCTCAGGCCGGGTCGCCTCTTGGGGGTTTCTCCTACTGTTTGTGGCGGCGGGATGTAGATGTTAGAGTTTTTCAAGTATGTGGTACAAACTGCAGGCACCAGAATAATAAAAGCAAACATATTTTGCCAGCAGCTTTCGACATTTTAAGTTAATTTAGACATTGATAAATTGTTTCAGGGGAGATCCAAGATCCAAGATCTGCGGATGCTCGAGTTGGCAAAATATAATTTTTGCTGCTGTAATTATGTCTATCTACTCAAAGGCATTAATACCACTGATAATAAAGAGTGAGTCTAAAAAGTGGCAGTGTTATCATTGGATGGGAAGGATATTATGAACTTTGGTAAAAAAAAAAAGAAAAAGCTAAATTAAACATACAAACAATTTCTTTTCATCAGCTAAAAACATAAATACACCCGATAAACTGTTTAACATTATGTAAAGAAGTGGTAGACATAAATGTCATAAATGAGACTAAACCCTACACTTATTTAGAATTCTGTGTCTTTAAATGAGTGTTATATCTGCTGAGCAGCAAATAAAAACTCTGGGCCTTGTTATTTTGTCATTAGTACTCCTATGACCCCTTGTTTTCTGCCTAATTAATTCCCTAACGTTGGATTTACTCTCAGAAATGTCCATTGTGACTTGCACTGAGCTTCATGTAACGAGTGATGCAGGGCCCCCTCAGTGGCAATTAGAGCTTTGCTGGATAAACCAAGCCTGCGTGAGCCCTGAGGGAGGGAAAGAGGAAGTGAAGCACCGCTGCTACTGAAAAATACAATGAGCAGAACTCATAGGTACAGTAGCTTGGATCCTTTAGTTACAATATGAAGATTTAGAGATTAAGATCCAAAATATGAAGTGATCTTGTTCATAACGTTTTCTTATACAAAGTAGCCTTGTCGTTATTCCTCCACTGAATAACACCTTTATTCCACAAACCATAAAAATAGGATTCCATATGGGAAGGTTTCTATCTACATAAAGAATTTGAAATTTTCCAAGCTCCAACTTGGCTGAACTGTTGGCTACTCTTGCCATTAATTTGTTAGTTTTATTTCTAAACGTCTGTAGCTCAAGTTTGACAGATTTCTAAAGACCAATATATCAGACTTTTAAGTAAGACCTGCACCGTCAGGACTCTTCATTGCAGACCTGCACTGTGAGATCTCCTGCACTCTCAGAACCGTACTTTTTTTTGAAGCCTTATAAAAGTAAAGGGGAAATAAAATAAAAGCTCTTATATCGGAAATATTTTATGCTTATTTCTTGGGTTGTCATTATTCAAATATTTTTGTCTATTCATGTGTTTAATAACTTATTTATATAATCTCTTTCCAGTTCAACTGAATACGGTTAAAAAGTGCAAGAAAATGTCAAAAGAACAAAATATACTTAGTTCTTTTACACAGACATCTCTTATGTGTGTTTGCAAGGAATATATTATATATTCTTTATTTTATTTTAGTATTGTTTGTTTCCTAACTTTGCTGTTGGACCACATAGATATGCCAATGGAGGGTGTGTGATTTCAAATTAACTTAGCTTTGCATTTTCACAGGTAATTACTGAATACCTAGACACATTACCAAAATAGCCAATAACGTTAGGGTTTTTTAAATGCTACGACACTGGAGAAAACAGTAGACACAAATAAACCTTTAAATGTCTATTTATTTTAATTTCTTAGAGGTGTTTTTATTGTCAAAACAGTTGATTTCACAGAATGATGTGTAGCATTTAACTTTTGGTGAAGTGCCAGTGGGAGTCACAATTGAAACATACATCTGTAAGAGACAGATAATGCTTTAATAAGAAAATCACCCAAAAATTATGATAAAACCCAGTTTTCTTGGTCTTTAAAGGCACACCACAGACTTTGTGACCTAAAGAGTCAATGTATGTGAGTCGTTTTAAATGATTCTTCAGGCCAATATACAGGGCTTTACGCTATCAATGCAACAAGGGGGGCTCTCCTCTTCAAATACCACCTATGTAAGTTAGAAGAAGATGCACCATCATTGACCAGGTCCCCTGGAAGACCGTATTGCTTAACGGCCACACGCTCTTATATAGTCATGGAGCCTAATCTTTTGTTGTACTATTTTTCCACCTGCTCAACTACTGGTCATGGCTGAGGCAAGGAAAAAGTTTAAACCTTCTGTGGAGGCTAAAAAAAGAAAACCTGCAAGCGATCGTGCCTGAGGTAAAACAAGAGCCTATCTTGGAAGGAGGTGTTGCCGTAGGTTGAAAGAAGCCAGATGTAAAACCGATTCTCATTGCATACAGTCGAATATCTTTGTTATTATTTTTGATGTTTAGAGGAAGCAAAATAAGGGAAGAGAAAGCTAGCAGGCTACAAACAAAACCTACTAGGGGCACTAGAAGTGAAAGCTAAAGGTCTAAAGCCCAGAGTGGCCAAAAGTTACACTGTGTGACTTAAAGTAGGGGGGAAGCACATTTAAGTAAGCACTTGCCGCGCAAAAAAACACGTCTTCTTCTAATAAAATCCAACAGCACATACATGCTTCTGTACGTGCTATTCCTAAAGGCCTTGAATAAAATGTCCGGAATAAACATCTGGTCCTGACAGTACAGGAGACCCTGCATTGTGCAGATCTTGAAGGTCTGCAGCCAGACGCCTCTCACTTTTTTTTTTTTGGTTTGGATTTCAGGCACCAATTTGAGGGGAATAGTTTATATGCTCATATTTAACTTTTTCTCCAAACCCACCCAAATCCAAGTTCTCTCATCCTGTACACAGTGCACTGGCTCCTTTAAAATAAATCATAGATTGGGGGAAGAAAAATGTAGATATCAGTAAATTAAGCCTGCATTGCAACACATGGTCATGAAGTCTAGTGTTTGAAACAATAAATTAGCTTTTAACCCGTGATTTAAAACTGCATAAATCAAGATCTAAGCAGCTTGGGGGTGAATTTAGCTTGAGAGGAAATAATGAATGGGTTGTATTTACAGTCATGACTACACATATTGTCATGGCTAATCCTTTCAGAATATTTTACATTTCAGATATGATACAGCAGCTCAACACAGCATGGCAGAACAACTGTAATTTCTGCTGCATGGTCCCCCCTCCTTTCTTCATTTTCATTATTCTGCCTCAATCTTCCTCTCCACCCTGGTATGCGGGAAAGTCGTTCGTCCATGTAATTTAAAACAAACAACAGCTAGACAAAGATAAGGGCATGACAGGCTGAAAAAAATTCTGGTGCCTTCTTTCATATGGGGGTGCCTGGAAAGGTCATCCTTGCTGCTCACCCAGTTTCAGTGTTTGTGTGCACGGGAGGGAAGGAGTAACTGAAGGGCACGGGGTCACAGTGGGGCTTGGGTGGTCTGGCACTCGATCAAGCAAGGAGTCACACAAGAGCCTCATCAGTTGCCACAGTTGGTGCTTTTAGAGTAGGGGTGTTCCAATCTCACATCATTGAATTCATAGTCATGAAAGTGTTCTATCCATTGCTAGAACCTGATACCAGTGTGGGGGGGCTACATTTTCCCTGCAGTACTCAGCAGTTCCATTTGCAAACACAGATGCTTGAGCTGTCCCCGATTTCAGCAGCTTCCTCATCTCATTGCCATTGGCCGTCAACTTCAGCGGCTTCTTACACCCCTCTTGGCTCGTCAAAACTTCGCTGGCTTCAACACACCCTTGTCTGCCTCCTTGGCAGCCCCTCCCACCTCCACACAGATGAGACATCAATCATTTTTTTCTTCTCTTTTCATTCTCGTTCATTCCCTCATTAAACTGTTCTACCATCCCACTTTATGCCCCATTCCACCCTGCCTCGATCAAATTCAGCTATTGAATTTGCTTTTCCTCACCTTTTACCTCCCCAATTTGAACAGTCAGACAGTTCACGAAAGAGACTCATTGCCATTTTGGATCATCTCACCCACAAAGCTTCATAATAAATTTCTATGGGCCAGACTTTCAGTAGTTTTAGCACCTATAGCATGTGACAAACTCAAGGAGGCAATGCGAGGAAGTGGTCATGCAGAGCATTGTAGTATTCTTCTTAGAGTTACAATTTGAATTGTTTTTGAACACACTCCAATCCCCCAAAATCAGTTA